ATTGGGTTGTTCAATTCTCCTGTTTCTTCCTGGTTTAGGATTGGTAAATTGTTCTTGTAGAAAGTAGTACATTTCTTTAAACTTCTCAAATATACTGGCATATAGTTGGCATATAGTTGTCACTGTAATCTCTTTTGATCCTTTGTATTTTTGTGCTGTGACAAATTTTCCTCCTTCGTTTCTGATTACTTAATGGTTTTGTTATATTCTTTGTTAGCTTAGTGAAAGGTTTCTGTGTCATCTCAAAGAACTCTTAGGTGCATTGATTTTTTTGTAGTCTTTGATTTCCATTTATTTCTGCTCTTATTTTTACTATCATATTCCTTATTTTTACTATCGTATTCTATAAACAGGACTCTTGGGTCCTGTTTTTAAAGTTGTTTTAGGTGTAGTATTAGACTATTTTGGGGGGTTTTCTTGCTTCTTAATATGTATCTGTATTGCTATTATCTTCCCTTTTTGCAATATTCTGTAGATTCTGGTAGCTTATATCCTCATCTCTGTTAATCTCAAGGTTTTGTTTTTTTTTTAAATTTACTATTTTATCCATTCGTTATTAAGCAATACATTATTTAGTCTCCATATTTTTATAATATCCTTTTCCCCCTTTGGTGTTGGTTTCTAGCTTCCTGGCTTTACAGTCAGAAAGAGTAGTTGGAATAATTTTGATTTTTGTAGTTTTGTTTACAGTTGACTTTTGTTCCAATATATGGTCTATTCTTGAAAATGTTCCAGGTACACTTGAGAAAAGTTTGTATGTAACAGTTTTGGGGTGGAGTGTTATGTAACTATGTATTAAATTTATTTGTTCTAATTCCTCATGTAAGGCTATTTTCCCTACTTATTCTCTGTCTTGTTGATATGTCCACAGTTGTAAATCAAGTATCAAAATTCCCTAGATTATGCTGTTGTAAATCTCTCTTTCTTTTGTTAGTAATTGTCTTACGTATCTTAGTGTGCCATCATTCACTACAAATATATTTAAAGTTTTATCCTCATTGAATTTACCCTTTATCATAATATAATGTCCATCTCTATTGCTAATTAACTTTTTAAGTTAGAAGTCTTATTTTATCTGATATAAGTATCACTGCTCCTCACTTATTTTCACATTTGGTTGTAGATTGTCTTAGTTTTTAATTCTAGGTTTGTGCTTGTCATTGTTGGCTAGATGGATTTCCTGTAAACAACAGGAAGTTGGACTTTGTTTTTAAATCTGTTCAGAAACTCTACACTTTTTGATTGGTGTTCAGGCAATTCATATTTAAGGAGATTATAGACATAAGTGCTCATTGCCATTCATTTTGTTTTAGTTTGCCTTATTTTTTTGTGGTCCTTCTTTTATATTTTATGTAGGTTCCATTTCTGTTGTCTTCTCTGTTATTTCTACTGATTTTTTTTTTTTTTAAAGATTTATTTATTTGTGCATACAGAACTGGGGTACAGGCCAGAGGCTCAGGGGCGGCGAGAGGCTTCACCAGAGACAGAGCGGGGAGCAGAACAGGCAGATCTACAAAGTACAATGCTGAGGGGAGCAGCGGGCGGGTCAGGAGAGGTCTGCCACACTATGTGGTCACCTCCGGGGCAGGCGGGAATCGAACTCATGCGGAAGTGGCTTTAGATTCTCAGTGCTGTGCTTTAACCCGCTGCGCCACCAGGGAGGGCCCTCTACTGATTTTTTATTTGAAGCATCTACCTAGGTTAGTATATGATGGACTGCTCGCAAAGTTTCCTGTCAAAACCCATTCTGATGGACCACATTATTACTCTCTTCAACATGTTCCATAACTCAGGTATCTGTTACCACTATATTTGCTGTTCTATTGCTTTATAATAACCCCTTTCACACGTTTCTCATGTGCATCTTGGTGTTGATCAAGTCTTTTAGTTTTGTGCTTTTTATAAATCTCCTTACCTTTCCATTGCAGGGTAAAGAAATCTAGACTGGGAATCTTTTTCTTTAAATAGTTTACGTATTTCCTATCATCCCCATCTTGCTTTAGTGTTTTTACTGAAAAGTCAGCTGACAGTCTAATTGGTGCTACTTAGAGGTCACTCTCTTTTACATTTTAATGTCTTTAGCATTCTGTCCCAGCACTGATTTTCAACAGTTTTAGTATAATGTGCCTTGCTGTGTGTCAGTCTGGCCTTGCTTTGTGTGGAACTCTTTGGACCATGATGTCTGGTTTGTTTCTCAGATAATGATGGCTCTTGGAAATATTTATTTAAATAAACTTTCTACACTTTCCTCTTTCTCTTTTTCTTCTGGGATCCCCACAATATGTATGTTATTTCTGTTCAGATTATCCCTAAAGGCTCTTCACTATTTTTCTTTTTTCTATTCCTTTTTCTTTTTATTCTATTTGTGCATTATCTAACATTGTGTTTTTCAAGCTCATTAATTCTCTTCACCACCTGTTTGTCTGCTGTTGAAGCCCTCTATTGTATGTTTAAAATCCATTAGTTCTACTATTTTCTTAATGTTTATTCCGTTGTTGTTTTATATCATGTTTTTATGTTGAGTTCTATGGTATTGTTATCACTGTTATCTTGAACTCCACCTTTCAGATATATTTTGCAGCTCTGCTGAACTGAGACTTCTTTCAGGGGTTGTTTTTTTCCCCCCTCTAGCACTAGTGACATGTTCTTCTGTTGCTTAATTTTAAGTTTTTATGGATTGTAATAAGGATAGATTTTTCCACTATTTGTTTAGTGAAAACATCTGGGCAGTAGGTGGCAAAGACTCAGATATTGAAAGATGGAAAACTGGTGACCCACATCCAGTTCCAAGAAGAGAAATAATTGGACAAATTTATAAACATGGTATTTGTTGACTCTCTCTTGCCCCTTTTAGCAAAGTTCCATAAGAGACGAAAGCCAGACCTGCACTCAATCTGCAAGTAAAGATGGGAAAGGAACACAGTTTTGCTAAAAGAGGAATGCTGACTATAATCTAAATGGGCTAAATCCCTTAATTTAGAGATCTGAAAGGCTGGGGGGAAAAAAAAAAACAACACAACTACTTCTTTACCTTCAATTCAAAGTACATTGAAAAAGTACCTATGAATACAAACCTTGCAAGGAAATAGGCCTGCCACTCAACCATGTAAGGCTAACAGGGTATTAAGAATGCTGTCAACTGTTAAATCCCATTGTTTAAGAAGTCGCCAAGTTAGCTGTCATTAAGAGAAACCAGGAAATAGAAGATAAAGAGCCCGAGCTTAAAAACTGTATCTAGGAAAATCTGTGGCTGTAATTTCTCCCACATGGAACTAACTGATTGAAAGTAAATGGGTAAGAAACACATTTTTGCATTAATTATATTGCTGAAATACACTAAGTTTAGTATGTATGCATGGGTTTCTGCTGTTGCTATTGACAAGCACAATTACGGAGGTATTGGTATTTCTTAAAAAGCATTACTGGAAGTGTCAATGTCCAGCCCCTAGTTCTATGGCCTTGACAGCAGGATTTAGGACATGTATTATGCTGTTGTAGTGGATACAGGGTAGTGCTGAAAGTGGCAATAGAAGCAGCTTTTTCACTGTGGTGGTTTCCAGGAATTGTGGTAGCAATGTAATTAATTTCCTAATCATAGTAGAGTCATTTACTCCCATGTGTTCTGGTTCTGTTAAGACTTCAGGCCTCATTCATGAAAAAATTATCTTAAAAGCCTATCAATACTTCCAAATACTCACTATTTTTTCTGCTTATACCAGGCAGGATGGATTCTAATCTGTGCAACTGAACCTTGACAGGATTAATTGTACTGAAAGAATTGCTGCAGACAACAGGCTCTCAGTTTAGATAGGAAAACTAGAACTTGGGAAATTAAAATAGGACACTTGAATTGTTTATCTACCCTGATAGTGCTTGAAAGTAGCAATGATTTTGCTAGTATTACAGAATGAAACACTTGAACTCATGATATACAATGGTGTATAGTTGATTGACCTATAATTACATTTCCTATTTCCTACCTTGTCCATTTTGGGTACCAACATTTTAATGGCCTTAGAACTAAGAACAGTTTTCTGCTCTTATATAGGAACTGTCAATCCCTTCATTATGGGTTTTTGGTTTTGGTAAGATATACTTATTTATACATACAGAACAGGGTTACAGAGCAGAGGTGCAGGGATGGTTGAGATGATTCACCAGAGACAGAGTTAGGAGCAAAACAGGCAGATTAACTGAAATACACTGCTGAGTGGAGCAGTGAGAGGAGAGGTCTGCCACGCCATGTGGGTCACCTCTGGGGCGGGGATCAAACTCATGCTGAAGTGGCTTTATCTTTGTAGTGCTGTGCTTTAACCTGCTGTGCCACAAGGGAGGGCCCTGCTTTTTTTTTTTTAAACTAGCTTTGAGCCTATTTTACTATGTAATAGCACCATAGTTTAATCACTGTGCATGTTATAGCATTCTATTTATACACACAATGATTAAAAGTTTTATAAGTCTCACATTTAAAATGAGTAGACAGGGAAGATGTGGAATCAACCCAAATACCCAAAAATAAATGATTGGATTAAAAAGATGTGGTACATATATACAATGGAATATTACTCAGCAACCCAAAAAAATAAGCACATGACTTTTGCAGCAACATGGCTGGAACTGGAAGGGATCATGCTTAGTGAAATAAGCCAGAAAAAAAAGGAAAATATCAGATGGTTTTACTCGGTTTTACTCATAGCAGGAGTATAACAGACCAGTTGAGAAAATAATAATAATAATAATGAACAGCTATCTACCAGAGACATTTTATGGGGGGGTGGAGTGGGGGATGGGATCAAAAACAGTGGGGGGAGGGAAATGCACTGGATTATGGTTATGGCCCATGGGTGATTTGGTGATGAGAAGCCCACAGGGATTACAACTGAGATGGAAAAATGCACAAAACGATGTAAAAATAAACTATTATATTATTTAAAAAAAAAAAGATGTGGTACATATACCCAATGGAATATTACTCAGCAATCAAAAAAATAAACTCATACCTTTTGCAGCAACATGGATGGAGTTGGAAGGGATCTGCTTAATGAAATAAGCTAGAAAGAAAAAGAAAAATACCAGATGGTTTCACCTAACAGACCAGGAAAAAAAAAAAGCAATAAAGAAAAAATGAAAAACAATGAACAACTATAAACCAGAGACATTGTATGGGGGTAGAGAAGGGGATAGGATCAAAACTGGGATGAGGTGGGAAGAGTACAGGGGACTATGGTGAACTGGAGGTGGGAAGTCCCTGGGGATTATAACCGATATGAAAAAAATGCACAAAATGAAGAATGTAAAATAATTATAAATAAAATTATTATTTAGGATGAATACTGATTCCAGGGTGGGTAAATTAAGGGTAAGTTAGCTAGATTTAGCATTCCTGGGTTAGCAGCGAAAGAGGTCATCAATGCCCTGCAGAATTTTACCATCTATATTATCATCCCAGTTGATATCTTCCAGTCTGGAGGTTCTAAATACCCTTTGGTGACTCCAAATATATATCTCCTGATCTAATTCTCCACCCTTCCCAAACTTAGTATCTGTTGGCCTAACATCTCTTTTTGTAGGTGAAAATAGACACGTCAACCTTAAAAATCTAAGAATAACGGTCCCTTCCACTAAACTCACCAGTATCCCAATTTAGTAAAATTAGTCACTATTCCACCTGTTTTGGTTTAAGAAAAAATTCTTTTTGTCTGTTTGCTCAACATCAAAATAAATGCTGAATCCCACCAGTTCTCAGCATTGCCACTGCTGCCACCTTATCCCAAGCCACCATACTCTATTCCCTGGAAAACTGAAAAGGCCTCCTAGTTGAATTTCCCACTTGCACGTTTGAAGGTCAACAACAGTCACTTTACAAATCATGCCACTCCCCACATCCTTACCCAGCTTCATCAGTACCCTGACAAATTAATCTCTTTCCCCAGAATCTTCTCACCTAGGCTCACGGGTCATCACCTTTCTTCTTCTTTCTTCTTTTCTTCTTCTTTCTTCTTTCGAAAGGTCAAGCACATTAAGCTTTAGGGCTTTAGGGCTTTTGAAAGATGCTGTAGGGTTCCAAGGCTCCCTCAGCTTTTTCAGCTATTTGCTCAAAAGCCAGCTCAGAGAACACACTCCCAACCTCCTTTCCCTATTATTCGTATCATTTCTTATTAATCTAGTTTAACTACTGTTTCTCTATAGCATGAGCAGCTCCTCTGGAGCAGGGGGTAATTAATGTACGCCTGACTCCTAGCGCCTTGGAAAATGCCTGATATATGTGGACGCCTAAAACCAAACTTGATGAAATGAATTTGAACCGAACTTATCCATCTCAAGATTTACTGCAGCACATGTTTAAGTCTCCTTAAGACACAGCAATATAAACACAGAGCAAAAATCAGGAGCGCCATGCCTCGCCCTTTCGTGTGCGCTCGCACAGAACTCTTAGCTGCTCCCCTAACTAGAGCTTAAACGCTGTTTCTTGTCCTTGGCCGGGTACGAAGGGAAATGAGGTAAACAGGAGAAAATGAGCATGGAGTTGCTACGGAAGGAGCTTCAGCTGTACAGTATTCGGTTGTAAATTCACAGTAGTTCATGGCAGCGCTTGTTGACTGGCCCTGAAGCTGGTGCTCCGAGCCCGAGTAAGCACCGAGCGAAGCACGACCAGAACGCGGGAGCCATTTTCCGAAACCAGTCTCTGTGGTAACCCCGCCCGAGCGTGTACGCAAGAAAGGGGGGCGGAGCTTATAGTGGGGGCCTCATTCCGGAAACCGCACCCTCGGTGGGTGGTGTCCCACCGTCGAGGATTAACAAAACGCTGGGCAAGATTTAACAGTCGGCCGCGAAAGCGCGCACTCGGCCACCAATAAGAGCGGAAGGAGAAGAACCGCTTCAAAGGACAGTTGTATGCACAACAATGATTGGTCAGAGTCCTCCTCTCTTCTTCTTGGTATTGGCTGGACTTCATTCCCCCGCCCACCCAATGGACTTCTATCTAGGTACTTCTGATTGGCTCTTCCTGGGAAGTGGTGGGGGCAAGATTTCGGGGATAGTTCCTCACGGATTGGTGGATTTGAGTACCTGGCGGCTCCTTCTCTAGGAAAGGGTCCGTCCCATCTCTCCTCTGTCCCGTCTCCCGACCCGTACGCTGGTCCCTGAACTCGCGCGCACGAATGGTTAAAAAAAAAAAAAAAAAAGGGTGTGAGGCTCGAGCCCGCCAGCCAGGCCTCTAGCACCTAGCGCGCGCCCTCAGCGAGGACCCGCGCGAGCTGTCCCCGGCGGTGCCTGCGCTGTTTGAAACTGCAGAACCCGTTAGGATCTTGGGAAAACTACCGTTCCAGCTGGTTTCGGAGCCGGTTCCTGTCAGGCGGGCCAGTGGCTGTCACGAGGCGGCTCTTAGCTTTCGCGTCTCTGCAGCGTGGAGACTAGAACCGGCATTTTCGAAGGACGCCACTTCCAATCGCAGCGCTGGCGCGGGCGGAGGCTAAAACACGGGGGTCCTGAGACTGAGGAAAACGCGCCAAGTTCCCCTCGGTGGTGGAGTAGGGGAGACCCTAGCGGTTCAAGCGCTTTGCGGACGGGACTACTTCTAAGCTTCTCGCCATCCCGGTGCGGGCGCGGGCGGCCGCCGCTCCGGGGATGTAGCTCTTGCCGGTGCAAGGCAGGACCGAGCGGCGGCCCGGATTCCCGCTCTCGAGGCGAATGGTCACTCCCCCGTGGGGAGGGCTCTCCGACCAGCTTTTCCTCGGGTCGGGGCCCCTGGGGGCGCGGGACTGGGACTCACCTGTCGCACCCATACTCTTCCCGGTTGGACTCGCTGGCGTCAGCGCCGCGGACTCGCTTTGGGCCATGACCAGGTAAGGAGGGCCTGAGAGGAGGGGCCGCTGCCTGGGCGCCGAGGCAAGTTCGGCTGCGCCCGGTGGGGGCGGCTCTGGAACCCTGGCTTCGGCGCCGCGGGGAGGACCCCCGGACTATTTTGGTGCTGCGCCCTGCGGGGCTGCTTGCGGAACCTTCTGTGCACGGGCGAGGCGCTCCCTCGCCGCCGCCGGGGAGCCGACGAGGCAGGTGCGGGCTGGCTGTAAATAGGCCACTCCGCGGGCCGGGGGGCCCCTGGAGTTGCTGTGGGCCGGAGACCCCGCGGGGCCGCCTCCCGCCGCGCCAGCGCGGAGTCTGACGACCTGGGGCATCCTCGGTCTCGTCATCTTTGCAGCCGCTTTTTCAGTTCCTAGGGAGGTGCGAGGCTGGGAGAAGAAATGTTTTCACTCATCGATCGCGGTCGGTAAATGTTAAGATTTACCGCGCACTTAACTTTTAATTTTCCTGGAATTATTTTAGGACGCCACGTGTCTTAAACCTTTGTCGGAATGGAAATTGAATGTCATGAAGGAAAGCACTTAAGACTGACGGGAGTGTTAACACTGTCAGTTTGCTCAGGAATACAGGTTCTTGTCATTGTGTTTTCTGCGAAACTTCAGACTTAACAAGAAAAACGTTTTACTGTACACACAACCCCCGGCTGTAAGGAAAGCCAGGAGCAAGAAGTGGCGTAGCTTAAGATACGGCATCTGATCATAGTAAATGTTTAATCATTCCTTTGCGCGGGAGCCTGGGAGGTTAATTGATTAGAATTGATAACCCGTTATTTCAGCGGCTTGATCGTTTCTCCCCTTTTATTTGCTTAAGTGCAGTTACTCTTAGAGAAGCCACTTTGCACCATTTATTAGAATTGACTTTTCCCAAAAAGACCTTTTAGGAGAGTAATGCTTGGACATCTGAAAATTTGACGCAGGCTCGTTTCACATTCATGACATTTCATCTGTAGGGTTTAAGTGGCCCGGAGAGTTAACTTTGCGTTGAAGAAGCAATGTGTAAATTGAGCTTTTCACTTTGAGTTGACTTTCAGAATTGTGTTTTCATTGCTGAATTCAGTGTTGTGAATTCTTAGATCAGAGTCAGTCAGTGAAATGCTTAGTAAGGATGGGATTTGATGAATTTTATTCGTTGATCATCGTGTATATTTGAAAGACATTAATGAGGACTCAGTAATGTTCTGGTCATTTTTCTCCAGATATAATGAAAAATAACACTGATGTATGAAATGACTACCACAAATATTACCCCTTTTCATCCACAAGTTTTAATAAAGATGAAGGTTGCCAAGGGCAAGCCTAAATAATTTTTAAGCAATATTTTTTTAAAACTTGCGCTTTGAAAAATTATTGGGAATTCAGTATGTTATGGTTTCTTGACACACACAAAGTGTAGCAATTTTTCATACCACTTTTTGCATATGATTTGCTAATCACCAAATTTTGGGATATGACATTTGGTCTGTGCTTTGTCTTATATGCAAATTATATTTCAAATAAATGTCTTAAAAACCACTTCATGTACTTACAAGTAACTAGAAAAGACCTTGGAAGGACTCTCACTTCCAGTACTCTTTGATTTCTCATTGATTCCAGTTTGCCACTTCATGTTTGCTCAGTCAATACTTTCTCAATGGGTTCAAAAATTATAAAATACATTTTATTCATTATTCCATAGGTTTCTTATAGTGGGGTGTTTTGTGATAGGACTCTCAGGCTAATACCTGAGTATTAGGTATCATATTTTTCATTGTTCAAGAACATTAAGGACAGTTGACAAGCTTCTTCATTTAAACAAAAAACAAGAAGTGCTTATTCTAGGCATTATATTCTAAAATTAGAAGTTCTGATTAGTGCTGTTCCTTTGTAATAGTACATTCCTTTCAAAATTGATTTTGTCATCTACAGCTGGTAACTGAAAACTAAAATAAACCTTTTTCTATTTGATTAACAGATATGATTGTTGATTAAAACATCCCTGTATAAATTAATTCTTGTCAACTCTTCGGGATTGGAAGAGAAAATGCCTGGTGTCATACCTAGTGAAAATAATGGGCTTTCAAGAGGTAGTCCCTCAAAGAAAAATAGACTTTCCTTGAAGTTTTTTCAGAAAAAGGAAACTAAGAGAGCCTTGGATTTCACAGATTCTCATGAAAATGAAGAAAAAGCTTCTG